TTTGTAAGTGTTAAGACTTAATTCTACTTAGTCGTTGGTTATGCGCACTCAGTTTTCAGTTTCCCATTGAACATGCTAGAATCTCTAAGTTGGGAGTGATTCCAGGATTTTGGTTTTGGTCACCAGATCCACATAATGCACTGTGGATGGTTCATGAACACATTTCCTCAAGAGCATCTATCGCTAACCCAAGACTTTACTGATTGACATCTTTGTCTCACATCTTGGTCCAAATCTTTATGTAATGTCTCGAAATGTTTTCTACGATGTTGAACTGTAGTTGCACTCTAATTTCAGTGGTGATTTGCCAAAGATTTCATGAACGTTCACTTTGCTTAGATTTGCCCGAGATGGTTGTAAAATGTTTATATGAGAACGGAAGGCTTTACACGTGATCGAGTAGTATGAGTGTTAACTAGACCTTTGCATCTGTCAAATTTCTTCAAGGCGAGGAGATTACAGATATGATCAGAGTATGAACAGCATGTACCTTTCTCATTGAGTTTCGCCAGATATGCTAACTTAGTAGGTATGACGTACATTCCAGCTGCGACAGCTTTCCTGATGGGCCAATTGTGATAAGGTGCAAAGACCTGATCGTAAGCCTTGGTTGCTGGCTCCTTCAGCGAGTTTCCTCTGCAAAGTCATTGTGACTTGCGTTAAATCTGAGGAAAAAACCACTCTTTTCGAGCAAATCTTATTTTCCATTTACGTTTCTGCGCTGTTTTAGACGTTTTGTATAGTCCATAAAGCAGGACCACAACCCCTCTTTGCTGAGAATTCATGCTTGACAACTCGAATACAAATATTTCTTTCACTTCAGTAACCATGTTTTGATTGGAATCTATAAGTCACCGTTTGAAAACTTCTGTATGAGATGTATTTGGATTCGCATACATTCTTCTGAAAATCTGCACACTTCAGTGACCATGCAACAACATAGGTGGAAAGGTTCTAGCGACTCACTCAGTCGTCAGAACATGCTGGAAAAGAAGTCGGACCATGTCAATTACTCGTTTGACACAAAGCAGGTTACGCGTGTGACTGCCACCTTGTTTCACCTTGTCAGCCTGGATATCGGAATCTACCATTGCTGCTATATTGTCAAACTCCTTAGATGCATCCAACAAATCTTTGACCTAGATACAGAGGAGAAGGCTTAAAGCATCAGATCAGAGTACGTACTCCCAAAATTCACATACAATAGTTGAGAAATCTATGTTCAGACATTCTTGTTACTGCGTGTTTGTATATTTAGACGAAATTCAAGTAGCAGCTGCTTTGCATGAGGAAGTCATGAGTGTTAACTAGTCAAAATGTGGACACGCACATGCAGCACCAATATAAGGTAAGGGTAACTTCTGAGGGTAATGGTAACTTTTTAACCTTTTAAATCTGTACCAGGTAACCAGGTAATGACCATGAGGTAGAGGTAAGGGGTAAAGATAGATCGTAGTGCTAAGTGTAAGGTGGAAGGTAGGGTAAAGGTAGAGAGCTTTACCTTACCCGTCTACCTTTTACCTTACCTTGCCGAGGGTTAATCTTGAGTACACCTATCAGAGGTCGTCCATACCAATTGCACACTGACTGGAGTATGTTGGGACTTGGAACGGTGTTGACGCAGCGTGATGATGAGGGCAAGGAGTTTGTGGTTGCGTACGCTAGTCGTTCAAACAATGCAGCGGAGTCGCGATATAGTTTGTACGAGGGAGAGTGCTTGGCAGCGGTGTGGGTTGTGGCACACTTTAGGTGTTACTTGTTTGATACGCAGTTCACCCTTATTACTGATCATCAGCCGCTCAAGTGGTTGATAGAGTCCGACAAGCTCATAGGGAAGCTTGCACGGTGAGCTCTCATCTTACACGAGTACAACTTTCAGGTAGTGCATAGACCTGGAGTTGCGAACCTAGATGCCGATGATTTGAGTCGGAACCCATGCACTAGCCAGGAGGATGACATTGGAGCTAGATGGCATGGTGAGGTTGACGAGAAGATGGTGCATGGTTGGCATGCATCTACCTTCATGTGTTGGTTTCGTGGAAACTCCAACAGAGAGTATCATTTGACATCTTACTCTAGTAAGAGAGTGTATGATCAATCTTCAGCTCCTGAGGTTGAGTATGGTGGTGTGGATCAGCGTGATGTTCACGATGATGCATTGGGGTTGGAGTTCCTACGGACCAGCATGGTGTCAGGCACAGTAGGTGCCAAGGAGCAAGTTCGTGTTCTCCAACTGGCGAAGAGATACCTATTAGAGGGATCACATGTTCTCAGAGTGTGGAAGGACGGTACGGTACTAGTAGTACCACATCCAGCTTAGAGAGCACGCATTGTGAGGTATGCTCATGAGAAGTTGGGACATTTGGAGTGAAGCGTACATACAGCTTACTCCTTGGTTAGTATTGGTGGCGTGGTATGCATACTCAGGTATAGCAGTTGGTATCACGTTGCATAGTTTGTGATCGGGTGAGGGCATCGTTCAATGCCCAAACACCAGAGTTACATCCATTACCCATCATGGGGTTGGGTTATTGTTGGAGTTTGGACTTTGGACTTTGCTGGACCACTACCTTTGACTGTACGACATCATCGGTATGTGTTGGTCATGGTAGAGCATTTCTCCAAGTGGATTGAGTTGGTGGCATTAATTGACAAGGCAAGTGAGGGAGTAGCATATGCTTTCCTTGACAGGGTGCTTAGTCACTATGGTGCACCAACTGAGGTGTTGACCGATCAGAGGACGGAGTTTCAGGGTGAGTTTAAGGTCTTGTGTGACAAGGCACTGATTGATCATTGGATCACGTCGCGAGATCATCTAGAGGCGGATGGTTTAGCTGAATGTGTTGTATATACATTGAAGAGGGTGTTGCGCAAGTATGGCCTCCAGAAAGGTCATCTTGAGGACTAGGATATCGAGTTACCATGGTTGGTCATGGGATATCGGTTCAGTCTTCATGCATCTTTGGCTTCCTTCTCATCATATTTTCTAATGTACGGCCGAGATCCAGACTTGCCAACATCGATTTGTCCTGAGTCTAGCGAGGTAGTGAATCTTGATAACCCGAACATGTGGGTGAGAGTATGTTTTCAACGTGTAGAGCTCTTTTGGAGAGTTATGCCTACAGCGTTTGAGAATCTTGTGATTGCTCAACATAGAGATACGTTGTGATATGCAACCATTTGGGGAGGAGGTTATCGACCATCAATTCGTAGATTCCATGTGGAAGACTACGTTTATCTACAGCAGACTGCACCGACGACATTGGATGTGACGACCGGACGCACAATCTTGCGAGTGCGGGAGGTGTTGTCTTCTGGAGTTCTCCTGTTGGAGGGTCGTGACGGCGTTGTTTGGAAGGATCATGTGCGCAATTGTGCGCCATGCCACCTCCCAAACATAGATGGTACTTTGGATCCAAGCATAGCAATAGTATGTGTTGGCTTGAGGTGCATGCTGTGCGGATTAGCTGGTCAGGCGGTCCGTATGTTGGTGTGTGATAGGTGTTCTAGGGGGATGACACATGTCGTGTCTGACTCCACTTATCAATGTTATTCCGGTTGGACGATGGGTTTGTTCTCGATGTACTTCAGAGGTGTAGATGAGTTGATCTTCACATGTTCTGAATTGCAGATAGGCGATTAACAATGGGTCGACATAGCACCCGGCCTAATGGTTCACGCACTCACGAAGGTGTATAGCATGTAGTTGTAGATAGGGCTACCTGGGAGTGAGAGGGACCTGACCAGCAGCTAGGAGGGCGAGTTGTGGTAAATTTGAGTGTGTACGCTCTCTCATCTAAGATGTGTGTATGTGTGCGTATGCGTATGTGAGTAGCATGTCAGCGATGTAGAATGTATGACGATATATATTCACACGACACCTGTCATGTAACTCAGTATTTGCTAAAATTAGTGTTGAACTAGGGTTTCAAGTCGCGTAGGGTATAGGGTCGTAGGAGACTCGAAGAACGTCAGTTCTTCAAGTCGAGCCTAGCGCGTTAGGAGTAATGCGAGTAGAGCGATCCGTTAGCGTCAACCTAGAATCTCTCCGGAGTGGGAGTGGGTTGGGCTTGACTTTGTATGTAACGGTTGTTGCCAATGGGGTAATCATACCAACGGGAATTCCAATGGGGAAGATCTGTATATTTCAATTGTACTACATTTGAGTGTGTACGCTCTCACATCTTATATGTGTGTATGTGTGCGTATGCGTATGTGAGTAGCATGATAGCGATATAGAATGTATAACGACATTGATCCATCAACAAAAATTTGAAATAGTTGGATGGCTGAAACAATCAACGATACAATCTGTAGCAAAATATTTTAACAAAGTCCAAAAAGAATGAAATGTTGATATTGGAGTTCAAATAAACGTATGACATATTTTTCTTTCTCACACCTCTTTATTGAATATCCAATATTGACAGTTACAAGTATCATGTCACTATTGCCAATGATGATCTAATGTTATCATTGTGCAGATTTATTGGTTACAAAACTAATGGTTCTAGAATTTGATGTTAATAATGGGAGTATGTTACTCATACAAGGTGACACGATTGGGAGGTTATAATTTCTACTCTCTTCTCTTTATGCTCTCAAACTATTCTTCCATCCTTAGATTTCACGATGTTTCATCTTTATACTTAGACTTCCACTATTCTCTTTAGTCATAAATGGTCAGATGTGAAGAGAACCACTTGCTCAACATATACATTACTTTTCTCGTAATGAATCTGATCTTGAAAATACTATTCACTTTTATCTTTTTGAGATTAAACCACTTGGACTTATAAAAAATTATACTAATGCTAAGTTGAGCATTCAATGCCAAAACATCTTACTCTTTCACATTATTTCCTAATCAAATCCCACGAATATGGATATCCATTTCATTCGATAAAATTCGAAATCTTCTTGGCCGGAAACTCTTCACACAACTCTAAACATATTTATTCTTATTGCCAAGTTTCTCAAGTTTCACAAGTAATCTACAGTCGAGTTTAGCTTTGGTATCATGATGGATATGAATACAAAGAACTTATATGTCCAAGAGCTCGTGGTTATCATCTAACAACCATAAGTTTCATCAAGGTCATAAATATGCATGATAAGGGTGAATACTGAAGATGCTACCTTGATTGTATACTGCTTATTGAGAATGTGCATTCAGCTCATTTACTAGTATTACATTTTACGAGAAATGTCAAAGGCACTACACAGCAGTAGTCGCCGGCCCTGACCAAAGCTTGAGTTCACTCCCAGTTTTCCCTAATTAGAAATTCGTCTTCTGAAAGTACAATGGCAAATGTATCACCCATGAAACTTGATGGCAAAGGATTAACTATGAATCACCTTGTAGAATGATAAGGATTTTAAGTAGCTCGTCATCAACTCAGCTCAGCTCCACTTTATTGCTGATATGGATGCTCAACATACGGTCTAATTAAATGGGACGTTACTGAAGGTTCTGTAGGCGTTTTGTTTATCAGACTGAAATGTTCAGCAAATAGTTGAACATTGTTGTTACTATGGAAAGGAGATGTTGAGAAATCAACAATGAGAGAAGGTTTTAGTCTTTGACAGTCAGGTTATAATCAAAGGTTTTTCTGTAATGATGAGTGTTCATCGATCTGTTGAACATTCATGTATATCTTGGGCTTCGAGCAGTTGGCCCAATAACAAGAGGTTTGTATAGGAGTGCTCGATGATTGGCTGAATATGTCTGCAACGAGGATGTAATCGGTGCAGATAGACATACCAGATTTCTATGCAGCTTCAATGATCAGAGAGTTTTTGATCATCGAAAACTGTTCTGTCGACTGGTGAGTCATGCTCTGATCTCTTCGTTAGAGAGAAACAGAGAGGAAGCTGAATTGCTCGGAGTCAAACTACGCATTTCTGTGTTCAACAGAGCGAAGAACAGAAATGCCGCAATTGGCATGGCAACACATGGTTCCTGTGGTGCAGTTCTGCACGTATTTGGGATTGTTTAGGCTAGCTATGGTATTGGGTTCTCCCAATACCTGACGTGATTGATAATCTGAGTTGATGTCCTCGGTGTTCATCACTCCATCGTCACGGGTGTGAGTGCTATGCAGCCACCAGCTTAAGCAGATACTTCTCCATTACCTCGTAATCGCTATCTCGCTTCAGCAGAGAAAATCGAACGTGTCGATCGGTGACCCCATAAGCTGATCCTCGGTATAAACTAATGCCCGCATTCAGGAACAAGTTGTAACAATCTTCGTCCTCTTTTCGGTTGCAGTAAACCCATGCATAAGCTGCAACACCGATGAAGCTTGAGTAATAAGGCGATGTAGTCGGCGTTTGACATTTTCTACAACAACACTCAGTCACGAACAACAGAAATCGATGTGCACTGGCAGAAAATTGTACCTGGTGAGGGTTCCAGTGTCTGCCCGAAGAAAGCGCAGTACTCGGGGTCGTGTTTCAGGAAGGAGAAGCGATCAGATGCTGCAAAAATTTGCTCGAGCCATTTGTAGCGCCTCTCGAGGACTGCTCGGCCGTAGTGGAAAATTCGCCCTTCTTTCGCATATTGAGCAGCTGGAAGTGCAAATGGTACAGGGCCATTGTCCTTGAGGTATGTGGAAGTGACTGCACGCAGAAGTTGAGTGGCTCGTGCTTGAGCATCATGAGATACACCCAACGAGTTTGTTACCAGCATCATCTGTACCAAGGCCGCAAGCGAGGGGTCCTTGAATAAGCCCCATCTGCACCACACCCACATCAGGAATTTAGAGAAGAGGCTCACTGTGCAACCCTAGGCCATTGAATCTCCCAGAAAAGCATAACGAGGACAGACTCTGCCCGTTTTGAGTCCATCGAGGGTGGTTTGGCTCGAAGAAAGATTACCCAATTCGAGTGCCCGCATGGCCGGTGACTTTCGAAAGGGTGAATGTCATGATGTCTTCATCAAATTCGCGTGTTATAGCTGACATGTGAGGCCAGTAATAAGCAAAATCGTAAATTATGTGTGCGTGACTTCCGTTCAAAGTAGGTTGTCGAGTTCGAAAGTCTGGATTGTTCGGGTATGTGACAAATTCCATGGCATCTTTACCAGCGTTCCCTGGATCTTGGGCAAACAGTTTGGCATCTCCTCCCCATGCAAACCTGTTGTCTCCAAAATAGTCCGTTTGCCTCCGGTACAGCTGAGCAATCCAAAGAATCCATATCCGTGAGACAAGGTTGGAATAGCTTTGAGCGGAAAAGCCAGGCGCAAGACTTAAAATCAACTGCCATTCAGGAGGCCGACACTTCACAAAATGAGTCATGTACCTCATAGAAGGGCGCAGCAGCGACTGCACTGTATGATGCCTGCTTCTGGTATGATAGCGCTTGCATGATTGATAGTAGGAGGGGTGAAGAACCGCTGCTGACGAGCAGGATCTTTCCGTCTGCTGCAGCATTGCCGACCATCTTATGCAAAGTTCTAATTTGTTTTTCCAGGGCCAAAGTGCAACCTGTTCCCATATTCATTCCTTCCCTGTAACTCATGCGATACCACGGCGGAGTCACCAGCGTTCCGGCTTCAGCGTTCTGTTTCCAATAGTACTCGTACATCACGGGGTCTCCGCTGGATCCACAAAGTTCCACAACAGTCACAACATTGATCAGAAGGCGCCTTTCGTCTCTATTCTGACATCCAACTTCGTCCTCTCAAATTCGCTCAGAAAGTTTTGCAACATGTTTGAAGTTTGCACCCTCTTTTTTAGACTCTATGTTTCAATTGTGGTGAACTCAATTCTAGGCTCATACTTGGAACAATTTATGTGAATTTGCATCTAGGTTCCTAGATTTGATCTGGCGGGCTTACTTACACGCAGATAAATCTACCCTCCGTCAGATTATCCCATTCAGCGTGATTCAAAGACATGGCACATATCATGCGGATTGACTCGATCTCTGGCATCATACATGTTTAAGTCTCCACGCACCTGTCAATTTGCGCTAGGCAGTCAGGTACGGACTCGGCGCAGCTGGGACCTGTAAAGCACGCATGGCATTCGCAGACGATCTCACCGTTTGTTGGCACCGTGTCGAGGAGAACACTACCATGACCAGAGCAGTCGTAAGCAGCAAATCCCTCAGCTGCCTCAGCTGCAGCATGCGCCCATCTGGGATTCGTCTCAGTCCCGCTTAATTGTCCCGCCGGCTGGAGAGAGGATTGCTTCACGCTATCAATCCATTGAAGGAAATTCCACATTACAACAGAGAAGAGCATAACCCTCGTAATCCTTTCGCGAATTGTCACGTAATCTTCTGCGGCATATGAATCCTCCGCCTCTAAAAGATGTTGTATTTTTTCGTCCATTATCCTTCCATCAATCATATTTGAATCCTCCGCCTCTAAAAGATGTTGTTTTTTTTCGTCCATTATCCTTCCATCAATCATATTTGGACTCATGCTTTCTGGATAATCAGCATAACTTTCTCGGGCCTGCCTGTCCAACCAGCCAACCAACCAACCCAGAAGTTTAGCATTCATCTTATTTGATAAACTTCGCTGTCAAAGATAACGTGAAGTAGCATGCCTCGAAGGGCAACACAGCAAACTACCAATCATCCAGTATGCAGGCTAACGAATTCCCAGCGTGGTCACATGTCCTGGAAAGTAAGACAACAAGTACAGCAATCTAACGAAACATGTTCAAACGCATCCTCGTGAGAGGACAACTCCACAATCATTGGAAAAGATCTTGGTCGTTCCAGTGATTCATAAATGAGTCCGCGTGCGGAGGTACGGCGAGCACGTGGTTCCTAGATCGATGGAAGCTGCCATGCCTTCTATGCTATGCACTTTCCGAGTATTGACTCTCATGTTCTTCTCAGCGGGCTGGGTTCCTCGGGCTATTCTTATAAATTGGGAATAGTCAGGACGAGGAGAGTGAAGCGCTTAAGGTAAGAATCCATTAGAGACAGCCTCGAGAACATCTGCTTTGACGAAATCATCGACCACCTGCAGCAAATGTCTGCTTGGCTTAAGCAACCAACGATTATGCCTGACGTGCTTTCTGGAAAATATCTTGACCACTTGAGTTAAGGTCTAGACTTGAGCAACAAATAAAGCAATCGAGCGAAATCTGCAACAGAACCTGCTGGACATGAAGCGCACCGGTCTACAAATCGAGGACGAAACCCGGACGAGGAAACGTACTTTCTCGCAGGAGCTAATTCACCAAATAGACAGCGTCCCTCCTCGGCGTCCGCCAGTGCTCTCTATCCAGAAATCGTGCTGCCAGCGCCTTGCAAGGTCTCTAAGGACCATGCCAACATCAAGGAGCCACTCAGAAGAAAAGTGCTCGCCTCACTTCACGCGGCACTACAGTTTCTACACAGTGTTCGGCTCTGTGCCGGCCGTGGGCTCGTGTCTCCTTCCAATCCCACCGACCAGAATAGTAATATTTTAGGAAGACTTGGCCTCAACAGTGCGATGATTGGAGGCCAATTCACGCAAGGGTACTAAACCAGCGTCATCCTGGGATGTACAACGATCTACTGTCAGCAGTAGAAAAATGCGCCCAGAACTACGACTTCTCCCATTTCTTTGGTCTACACTCGTTCAGTAATATAATACTTCCTCACACCTTCGACGAATTTGATATATTTTACTATATTACGGTATCTTGGGCGAATTCTTGGGCGAAGTGAAGCCAGAAGAATGTGTTCCAGAAAGTCAGTCGGTCGATCCAAGAAACCCTTTCCACTACGGATTCCTCGGTCATCATGACGTGCAGTGCGTAGCCAGAAGAGCCTCCATTGTGCTAGAAGAATCTTGCTTGGACGATGGGCGTGTGCCAAGAGCCAAGCACTGACCGCCAATTCCACCGGAGAAATGGTCAAGACTGAATGTGCAGCATGCGCAAGCCAAGAGTACGAGAAAAACGACGTCCCAGCAGATTCGGGTCTCTCACAGGCAGAGCACACGAGATTGACATCGACATCATCGGCCTCAGTACGAGGCGTCGCCAGCAAAAGGGGTACGAATATTAAACCATTTTCTCTCCGCACAATTCAGTTTCCACATTTCCATCATGTGTGCAAGATTCCGGCAGGGTCCCACTCGAGCCGGCTTTTGGAAGGAGTGAGATTGTGAGCTCCCAGAAGCTAGGAACGAAGGAGAAGCGAGATCTCTCGACCGAACAGGTGGCATTGGCCCAACAACAAGCTGGTGTTGGTATCTTTTGCTCTCTCTGTACGACTGGAATTTCTGAGGTAGTCCATGTACCGTGTCCTCTACTGTGGACTTCACATGGTTGTGGATGTGGACAACTAAATATGATCGTCCTAAGATGGAACTCGAGTCCTTGCTTATCCATGCATACACTAAGTTTATCCTTGACACTTGCGTCACAGTGTTAACCATTATTAGTGTAACCATTATTACTGTAGAATGTTCTTAGAAGTCTATTTTTCAATCAACAGCTTCCAAGTTGCTATTTCTTGGAATATTTCAAAGGTAATTCTTTCAAATTATCCTTTGAACAATCACAATTCTCGACGATTGTCAAAGCATCATACTTTCCAAAGATGTTGATACTTCATTTTCCCACGAATTTCAAATCATCCTCATTATTTACGATACAATGATGCAAAAGTGATCAATATCAATGTAAAAGAAAATTCGATAGATATATCAAAATGTTGTAGTACTAAGTTTGTACTATCGTGTTGGTGAAGGGCCTGGCTTGGCCCTTCGTAGATCCGGCTCCTTTGGTACTCATTTCTGGTACGTTCAAGTGGAGAGCAGCTGTTAACAGTGGTACGTAATGGAGGTCCATAATTAAATGCAAACTTTACCAAGGGTAGTCAGCTTTGCTCTATTCATTGGAGTTCATGATGCTATTTACCAGCAACGCTCCATATGATCAGGGCATGAACATCACGTGAAAAAGAAATGATGTAAACGGGGTTTGTAAGAGGACATTTCACTTTAGTTCTCCCTTCGTCACTTGGTCGTTTTACGAACATTCGGTAACTGTGCTGGAAGGTGTCAGTAATGTCAGTTGTGCGGACACATTGGAACCGGAGTTTTGGGGTCATAAATACATCATACGCCTGCGAAAGAAGTATGAAGATGGGCCCACATCGTGTTATTTTATAAGTAATCAGATTCCATGTACAGAGTTCAAGAAATTCTGTTGCTTTCAGATATTCCTGAAAAGTGTAGCTATGTAAGGAAATGTCTTGAATGATGAAGACTAGTAGACAGACCATTTTCATGTTTGGATTCGAGTGTCCTCTTCAAGTATCCTCTTCACCCATAGTAATAACATTTGACATGGACATTTGAAATGACATAACTTCACACAAGGACATTTCATTTCTGAAGTTTCAATACCATGCAAATCGAAATACTTTCTGGGTTTGCTTCAAATCTTCGTGTTCTGATGTGCACTCTGAATGTTCCACATCTTATTTCAAGTTTCGTATAATTTATTTTATATTTTAATGTTTCACATCTTACTTCAATTTTTCGTATAATTTATATACTTATATATATATATATATATATAAGAGTGTTCAATACGCTCCAAGTACGGGATTTTCCCCATAAGTTAATGGTGAGAGTTTGCGCCGTAATCAATACTGATGTCGACATCGGTTCCAAGCTATCGTATGACGTTGACATGCAACATTGATGTATGGACATTTTGAAATAGATTGGTTTTTAGTTGACACTTTCAACCTCAACTCCTGATCCGTATCTTGTGATGTTTAAAACTGTCAAATAAACAATGTGCAGAGATTAGTGAAAAGGTTCCGCTGAAAAATAGAAAAAGTGAGCTGATAACAATTCTACGATTCTCTTATGGTCAGTCTCTGTATATCCCGACTTTGAATGGCAATGCATATCCAAGCTTCTCTCCAAAGCGTCGTTCTCAATGTATCCTCGGTGAAGACTCTATATTCTCACCGGATGGGCATATTTTTTACCACCCTCCCTTTGGCACTTTCGACGAGGCACAGAAGGCACGAATTCCTGAATTTTCAGCCCGGGTCGAGGTCGGTCCTATTCCGCGCGTCTCAGCTCTCCAGGTACCCGGGGTTCGTCTCATTCTGCAGTTCGAATAAGCTAAACTGCAAGCGAGACGGTGAATTCCAAATTCCAGTAAGTTGTCACAAAGTCACGAGACTTCATTTGAAGGAAAGGTGCGAAGTCCACTGGCTCGATAAGGTGACGTGAAAATTGGTGTAACTACAGAGTTAAACCTCCCGATAGTGTCATCTCTTGTGAGTGACATATTTCCATTAGTGACATGAAAGTGAAGAACCATTAGTTTCTAATAGGTAATTTTATCCGATAATAACAGTACGTACTGTTATTATCAGTAAGTCACTATTGTTAATAGTTTCATTAGACTTTTCAAGAGTGACTATGTCGAACTTTAATAGCTATCATAATTACCAAAAGTCTTTGTTCAGAGTTAAAAGACTACTTTCGGAGCTTGCTGATTGATCTATCCCGATTCTTCTTAGTGGTTACAATATTCTCAGACCTTGAATCCGTGTCATTGATCAAATGATGTGACCGAAGACGTCGACGATATCAGACGTTTGTCTCTCCTCACTCGTTGCAATTTGGTTGTGCGATGTTTAAACCCTTGTGGGAAGAATGCTGGAAGGAAATTGAGACAAATCGAGTGGAAAGAAGAACAGGTAGGTTCTGCCAGTGGGATATTTTCACGCCTTTTCAAGTTTCAAGAGCCAAATCCATGAGGAGAAAAACAAGTCGAAAGATTTCAATTTTCGAATTTTCATGGGTGGCTCCGGGCTGACTCAGATTTTCCAGAATTTCCAACTTCGTCTTCACGTCCAAACAACGCTTGCGTTTAGACATGTGTGAATAAAAACGGGTGTAGATTAAGAGAGAAAAAAAACTCCCTCAAAACAAGTACGGATTGCGTTGAGAGAGAAACGACTACCTAATGCATAACAACTGTGACAGATTGTAGCGAGAGAGAAAGAAACGCCCCCGAAGGCACTATGACAGATTGCAGGAGAAAGAAAGAAGCGCCCACCGAACGCAAATAATGCGGGGAAAAGATTAGATATCCTCTTGTGAGTGACACCTCCGAATAGTGACATAAAACCCTAGAACGGTTATGTGTCACTATTGGGAGGTTTAACTCTGTATCGATGTAAAATTTTCAATGTCTGTACGATATATGTCCAAAAGAAAAAACTAACGGGAAGAAAGATCTATCTGGAAGAACTGATGAGTAAAAGCAGTGGCATACACACTGCAAGTTGAACATGGTGGTAATGGTGCCATCCTTGCATTAAAAATTGTATATTGGCCATTCTATGTTGCAGTCTATATCTCAAACTAGCTCCTTTTCAGTTTGCTGAATCATGTTCGTCTCCTCAACATCCACCTTTCAAACAAATACACAAACTCGTGACAGCGTTCTCTTTACCATATGTACAACAAGATTGTCTGGAGGTATACAAGCCATTCCCGGTATCAAAAGGTAAATTGCAAGTTCTCAGACTTCCCTCGTTACTGCGTTGCTGGGTCACGCTCGTCTCCTCAAAATCCTTCTTTCCACACATATCACACAACTCCGCAACCAAGAGACAGCTGTATCCATCGGATATTGCTCCACGTGGAATCGTGATGCTCGATTGGAAGCATCACTAGATACTGTTCTTTCGCCTGCACATAAAACCCACCAATCCGAATGATAAGATCACATACGCCATTCAAGAAACAAGAGAAAAACACCCCCGCCTTCAGTTATACGCTGACCTAACTTGTAGACCTCTCACAGTTCACACCAGGGCACAATCCTCGAAGTAAATTAGTGACGTGACCCAAACTTCATAAGAAGTTTACATTCATAAGCTGGAAGTGTTCAAGCCGCCGTACAAACAAGTGCATGTTCAAACCACATTTCATAACAACGCTTCGCGTTACTTGCAAGGTCTTCTGTATTCTTCGCAATTTTCACGGCGCAGATACGTACTTTTCCAACTAGCTCAGAACGTAACATCCTCGAGCACAGTATTCGAAACTTTTCGCATGTGCAACATACGCTTCTTACACTGGCAATGAGATCGGATGATATGATGAATTCAACTGGGGACAACGATCAGAATGGCATGCAAGACAGCAGGGTAAGAAGTACATAGACACCGAGTGGTAGAGAGACTGCCTATATGAACGCACCTGATCGGTCCTGAATGGTAGGGACTTCTGACAAGTACAAAAACCCACGTTTGCTTTACGACAATGTCCCATGCCATGCTTCTTCACCGCGTTTGTTTTGTCTCCATGTTCTTTTCACTGAATTCGCAGCAGAGTGTATCAAAGGCGGTCAAGATACTTCAACTAAAGACTGATCGTACATACCACCTAATGCGACTAATACTACGGTAGTAATATTTTCATTCAGCTACGATCACTCAAACATTCTCGAATGTTTCAGATTTCAGCGGAATTTTCCAGTTCAACAGAGGAAACGTTGAACGCAGTAGGCGACCCTAGTGCGAAGGAAGAATCCTGACTTTCATCGACTTGTCCGTGACTGGCTCTAGGTGTTAGTCACAACATGGTACAACATCAGAATCTAAAACTGCACTGGTCTTCCAACCACCAGTGGCCGTAAGACCAGTACAGTAATAGGTTTCGACCGCCAGATCTCTCCACAAGAGCATGAGGTAAACTATCAACAAGACCCGCACAAAAAACTCATGATTTTCTTAAACCTGGTGGTGCAAGCAAAATAATTCAAATGATGTCTTACCTTAGTGGAACCTCAAGCACCGACTCCTCAGCAGTTTTCCGGCGTCGATCTACGCAGTTGTGATGAAAGTACAAGACACATCCAGAGACGACCACGACACAGTACAAAAAAGGACCAATGAAGGGGGCTAGAACAAAATTCATCGCTTCGAGGTCCTCGGTCGTCCAAGTTCACGAGTTCAAATATTCTGAGCAGAAAAGCCGTGGTTAGAAAGAAGGCATGATGTCCTGGAATGTCCCAATTCCAAGAAATAGCCCGGAAATGGCTAGTTAACAAGAATGAGGCTGACATAATCCATTCCAAAATCAATATCCTCAACGCGGCCGAAAACTTTTGGTGAAAAAACTGAAGAAGCGCTGAGCTCTGAAAAGAAAAATTATGGCATTCGTATTTTCAAGTGAATTTTCCAAAAATTTAGTTCGCGTGTTTAGGAAGTGTTATTACTAGAAACGCCGTTTGAACAATCAAAGAGGAGGAGATACTTCATACGTAATGTAATCCAGTCTGGAATTACAGACTTCAAGAGGCCGTTGCCCGACACAATCGATTGGAAGTTTCTTCAGCTTCTGTCTATGTAGCTGGTCTAGATTATCGAGGGGTGTCAAATTGAGACGCAATTTGCGTTAAGCGAAGTTCCACATGAACACATGTCCGCCCACATGGAGCAGGACTTGTCAACGAAAGGAATGAACAAAATGATCGACAAAACCTAGCAGATTTCAGTGAAAAAACACTGCAAACGAGGGCCCGTACTAACCTCCGACCCGACCGTCTCAATCTCCTCCCGATCACCGACAAGTCGAGCGTTCCGTTCGGTCTCTCTGTATATTGTTGTCTTCTTGGGCTCTCAGGACAATCAGACAATCGGACGAACTTCGCGGCTGACACCCCAAATTCACCCGCAAATCCCTCCGACCAACCGATTGCCACAAGCTTCTCGTCTCACGAGTCTGCGAAGAGAAGAGATCGATCGTCTCGTCGCGCCAAGGAAGGGACGCAAAGGCTTCGGGGACTCGAGTGTCGGCTGATCTGGAGGTGGAGGGCACGCACGGCCCAGCCTTTCTCCACATTGTTCAGTCGACGCTCATCCTCCGGCCGAAGTCCAGCGGTGCACGACACGTCATCCTCACACACATTGCCACTTGCGCTACGGTAGCTGGAGGTGTCTTCCGGAGGAAGACGTGTTCTCTTTCTCTTGCTCGTGTATGCCAGGTCATCATCGGCACATCGTGAGTAACGATTCGTTACTCCCAACACGAGGTTCCGATTCTAATGTAAGGTCGCTGCCACATGACCGGAACCCGGCAACAAGCTCCTGGCTAGAAGAAAACTTGGTTTTCGTAGGCTGGAGACAATCCAATAACCTCTACCACATTGCTCGGAATGAAAAGGGAGGAATATTTTTATTAATTACAATCCAATGGAATTAAGTCTTGGAGAGTAACCCAAGAAGGCGCCAAAATACACGTGGAATCAACCATTTCCGAAAAAACCGGATTTCCATGCGAAAGTGCCCGGTAATTTGGAGCAGTTGATTTCGTTGTTCGTTGCCACCTAGGATACGTAAAATTGCCATTCATTCCCGTGTGGTAAAATTGCCACTCACTCCGGTAAAGGGGTTAAAGGTAAAGGTGACCTGGGTTGCCAATGACATGCGAGGGTTCACTGCAAAGAATGGGTATATGGGACCTGGGTTGCCAATGACATGCGAGGGTTCACTCCAACGTCTTGTGGTTTGGCCCTAAATGGCTTTAAATCCAAATCACTTGCAAATGAACAAATCTATCGGTGCAGTACCATTGTTGGAAGTTTGGGAGGCTTTTTGTTTACAAAAAACTTAATTTCCTTCATTTTGTGCAGAGAAAATATCCTCTTCGAAGACGAATGGCCCTTTGGCTCAAAAAGTCAACACCGTGAGACAATCAGAAGGCGGCTCGTGGTATTGGAATATTGGGCCAGCAGACGAGGTTGCAACTTGAAGAGATCGAATGGCAGAGTGATATGGAGCTCAGCTGTGAGGCAGTCGGGAGTGTGTAATTAAGAGAAGGGGGCGAGATGGGTTGACTAGAAGAATCAAAAGGTGCAGAGTAGATGCGATTACTCTATTCTATCGAATGAAAGGAAGAAGATTGCCATCCGGATCTTTTGGATGTTCGGCGCCGTGCGACTGAACAACATGGGAGGGGGTTTCCTCCTCTAAACTGGGATTCCATAAGCCCGAGGCGTGCAGGGAAGTTACAAGACTGCAGGCTAGAACAACCCCGACCGTATAACTGTGGGCTGACGGCATACGGTCACCGTCGTGACGGTCTGTCATTTGTCACCGTCGCACCAAGAAGTCACCCGTCGAGCGTTAACTCTCGGGATTCAAATTCGACACATGTACAGCGGATGTGTGACACGTGTCGGCGCGATGGAATAGTGTGCCCGACAAGAGCCTTCGTGCGGGTTCATATTCTTGTATCTTCGGCGAGGATTCTCATCAGCAGTGTGTTCAACCCAGAGCGAACTATTCTTTCGCCTTCATTAAACAATACCGTGTGCGGGACACAGAAGCGGCTTGTTCAAATTTTGGAATGCTGCTTCTTTGGAGCACCATCTCACGAAACCAAACAAGGATATCAGAGCTTCTGAGTAGTAAGATTCATAAGTCAACACAGTTCGCTTACAAGTCCGGATCTTGTTCTCAGTGACACTAAAGCTTAATACAAATTACTTCTGGGAATTGAAAGACTCAAAAGAACCATCGAATGAAAACAAAAGCTGTCAGTAAAGAGTTTTGAACACAAAATCGGCAAAGGAGCCTAGGCGGCAAAGCGCTGAACACTATGTAATCGCGCTCATCAATGGTACGGGTTGATTTGTGAGACGTGATTTGCAATACACGTTCATGTCTAGCCTCGATCGCAGGGATGTTGCTTAAACTTCTCATTATTCCGTGAAATCCTCATTATCAGAGTGACTGCCTTGTCTGAGGAATCGAACCCACCCTAAACCCTCTAATCGACAAAGGAGCTACGAAGCAGCCAGCGATAAAGTGCTGAGAATCGGAGGTCATGTCAGATGCGTTGAACGGCTTCTAAGAATTTCCTCGAAGCTCTCAACCTATCTTCCGTGAAGATTCTCCCATAAGCACAAAAGAAATCACAATTGCAGTCACATATTTTGTTTCAGCAAGATTGCCTTCTTCATCAATCGATGCAGCCAAATCACTTAAACCACCAGTTCTGTCGGAGGTTCTAACATTCGACAACAATGACGACATTCCGTGCGCTTTTTAAGCATTGCGTTTTATTAAATGCATGTATGTGTACACATCGAAAGATGGACGGAGGCGGGCCAAATCCAAAATCTCTCTCCACCTCTTGAACACACTTGCCGAAGAGAAAGAAGCAACATTCTGTACAGAAAGACGGTTTTTTCTTTTTTTTGACTTCCCGAGATCTCGCCACCTCTGTGAGCTTGGACGGGAGAAAGGTTTGTCTAGGAAACGCGGACAGGACGGGCTGGTCGGATTGCTGGACTGTGAAAGCCACTAGTTGTGCATCGACAGAGAAGGTTGACAGGAGAGTGTGATCCCAACTGATGTACCAGGCTCTTCAGTATACATAATTTGAAAAAGATAGAGATGTTCACCCTCCACACCGTGAGTTACTGCTCTAAACTCTCTAAAGATTCGAGAGAAGTTTTCTGTTTCCACTATGGCACTTCGAGGAAACCTCTTCTTCAGCACTGCCCACTTCAGTAAATTGCAGTAAGTCACCCATCGCCACTTACTGCAGCAATTAATCGATACTGATTTGATTGTAGACATGGGCACGGATGGTAAACATACACGTCTTATGACAGGGTCGGGACTATTGCGCTCTTCTGAAACCCTTCCGGGTAGACGATTCCGAAAGCCATAGCAGGAAAAAGGAGGTATTTACATGCGAAGCTTATGTCGTGCTGGGATAGAGGAAGACGAGGAGAATAGCCCAGACGGAAGAGAAAAACAGCATGGAAGGTTCAGTGATGGGAAGGGACGGGGAGAGAAACGGAGAGCAAGGCTGACATCGAGCTTTTAGAAAGCCCTGGGAGGAAGAAGGAAACCAAGCAAAATCTGAAACCCCGCCAATTCTCTAACAGCCGCGACGACAGAAAAAACCCTGGCCCCATACAAACGCAAATGCCCTGACAATCGTAACTCATCAGGTTGAATGGAAAAATCATTCGACAAATCGCCACCTCCGAGGTAGCCTGATCCGCCATCGCCAATCTGAGAGAGTGCGTAAAAAGAAATGCTAGACGAAAAGGCTACAGGGCCTCTCTTCTTCGGACGAAACGCGAAACCGTGGGTGACGGTGACAGCGAAACCCACTGGGTGACGGTGACGGTGAAACACCAACGGTGTACATACGCCGTCAGCCCGGAGAGAATACGGTCGGGGTTGTTCTAGCGAGGAGCGTTACAAGGGGGAGTTCAAGGCAAGACTTAGTTGTGGACTGCTGAAACACGATTACTAAGCACAGAAATGTAACATGATTCGGAAAGGTACTACACTATGAACATTGAACAGTCCTCGACTTAAATTCAAGAAAAGGGTTCGATTCAAAAGGAAGGAAAAGTGGTGTGATAAATGAAGATGGCAGTAACAATGCCGCTGGATACTGAATGTATCATCAAGCTCGGTTATTTCACTTTCCAAAACTAATTCATAGTTTGTTCTAGTCTCTAAGAACATGTAGACTAAGTGGATCGATCACACGAATATAATGAAAATCAGACATATAAATACCATTCAATAAAGGAATCAAGCCTACCCAATCAAACTAATTCATCCTCCAAAAAAATTCAAAATTATTAAACACAAGGTTCTCAAGATTTTTTCAAGGTTTTATTATATTCTATTTGAAATATCATCTCAAACTTTTGCTTGAAAGTATTTTGGACCACCAAATATCAGATATATCATAATTTTGAAACTGTCAATCCTGTTGTCTGTCTAAAATATTTAGTGCATTGAAATATTACTTTACATCTTCCATGATCTGATTACATTTTAAACTAAGAGAACACCTTGATAATCTTAAAGTATGACGCTCATATTTTTTCCCAAATATCTCAAAACATCACATTTTCAACTTTGAGCACATGTGTATGATACTTTCTTCAATCTATGTTGATTCCGAAAATAAGATAACTATGAGTATAGATCGCTCAATCATTCTACCCTCAAAATTCTTGATTTTAATTTTAATCACTACAATTTGAAATATCAAACCATCAACTTTGAATCAAGTTCAATACTACAATAGCATCATGATATGCAATAGTTAAGCACACGGAAGAGAAAAAAATCATCAATCAAAACTTGCAATTCATTTGCATTCCTATAAGAACTAACAATATCATGATCACTATCATGATATCAATTTGACTTTTGAAGCAAGGGTTTTATCATTCATATGTAAGAAGTATCTTCATTTGTAGAATTCAAGTACTTGAATTCTAAATTGAACTCAGAAGCGGCGGAATGAATTCAGAATGAACGGAATTCCCGGTCATTTGTAGAATTCAAGTTTCAAGTAATTTTACAAATTTTGGTGTAATGTGAAAGTCTCGAACGAAGAAGTGTCAAGGTCCGATTGCGCTGAGTGAAGATTTGAGAGATTCAATGAGGACAACGAGAGTGTCAAGGTCCGATTGCGCTGAGTGAAGATTTGAGAGATTCAATGAGTACAACGAGATAGTCTCGTTGTAACAATTCCACTAACTGCACCTTCTGTTCATACTAGAATATGACGGTGTTCCTTCGAAGTGATACCATTGGATAAAACGAAATATAAAATATCCCAATAACCACTTTAGGTTCATATGGGGTCACATCAAATAAATTCCCCTGAGTTTGTTGTTATGACAATGTTATTATGTGTATAGATATATTTTTGTTACTTCAAATTAAGCTTTAGTAGAAAATATCGGAAATGAACTTAAACAGATTAAGCACTGTACTTTCAGTAAGTTGCAAATTGGTGCTATAAATTAGTGCTACCACAAGTGCTATTTCGCACTTGTGGTAGTAGGGAATTGCATGCACTTGACAGCTTCTAGATTTAGCCAGTAGACAGCTTATTAAGCCCATAAAAATGTATTAGAACAATTAGGATGGTAACGATGCTATTTGCCAAATCTATCGTAGTTTGAATGTGATGATTCCATAATGTTCTTGCATCCAAGTAGAACATCAAAACACTTATTTTCTCAAACAATGAAGTATTTTTTTGTTTCAGTGGAATTGTGTTTTTCTAAGTTAATCATGAGGGAAGTGAAAAATCCCTGCTGTTTGGATTTTCTAATTTAGAGTAGCCTTTAGAAATTCCCTTCTGCACATGTAAGTATGGACTAAACATCTGCCCAACCTACTTCGTCACCTCATTTTGATAAAGTAGCAAGAAGTTCGTTTTCGAAAGGATGAATATTGAAATAAAGTCTACTGATCAATTTGAAAGTCTTCTGTTGTTACTTGCAAGGAAACTAGAGAGTTCAACTGAGGTGAGCAAGAAAGAAAAAAATGATATTTCAATCAGTGAAATGGATTGTCTAGTTTTTTCGAAAAACTTCACGGGATTCAGAGTTCGGATTGTAGTTGATTGTAAGCTCCTTTCACATCAATAACGAAATGAGATGTCACATGAACTTAAACCAAGTTTTGTGAATCTGTCGTGTAGTAAGCTTCAAAGTATCTTAGATTTTTCCTCCGGATAAGAGACCTACAGAAGAAACATGAAGAAAACCTGGACAAACCTCAACAAGGTATGTTATATTAGACATCAGAAGAGTTTCTAGAGTCTTCCCCATTGAGCTGATTAATGTGATTAGTAGGCAGGAATTTATCGTGGTGTAGTCACCTCCAGAAGAGCCATGTTACGCAGGTTTCAACACTTATTGTGATGGCCAGGAGGACAATTATAACTGCCCCAGCTATGGATGTTCAACGTAGGAGAGAATTTGCACGGCTTTTCATCCTCTGAGAAGGTTGATTTCAAAATGCTCACCCCGTGAGAATCATCTAACTGGCAGGTTCTACTGAAAGGAAGTGTGTGATCCCTGTTAAAAAAGAGTCCAGGCAATTCGGTCTTCCACCGATAACTCTTTCTCCTTCTTCATCTACACATACAGGAGACAGATACTGGATCGTAAGCTCAATCCTGAATCCTAGACCCTAAGTTCTAGATACTCTGAACTAACACTCTACCTCCCGAAGTCTCAGCTCGTAGAACTAAGAAAGCCTGAGTCCTATTGATAACCAAAGGCGAAACTAAAGGGGTTTCATGAACATCAATGATGCTAGATGTTTCACGTAAGTAGTCAACAGACTCATCCAGCAACCTTTTGAATTGCAATGGTGATCAAAAGTCACTCTACGATTAGCCCCATGCAGCTCGCTTATCACGGCAGCTGTTTCGATGCTCTTTCCTCATGGACATCCATCTAAAGCGTTAACTTAACGGTGATCGGGAAATAGGAAGTAGGAATAAAGTTCCTTAAATTGTATTTTGCACATCCAGATACTTCCTCCCGATAAAGCATCAAACCAGAGGAAATGAATGAAAACTACACAACGGAGGATTGTCATTCGGCTTAAGTTTATTTAATCTGAAGTGACTGAAGCGAGGACACAAGAAACGCGTGGAAGTTAAAAGACTAGTTGTCTGCTGCTAGGAAGCTATTCAAAAAAGTATCTGATGGCTCAGGTTGAAAACGATGATTAGCCTCATGGTGACTATTGTTCGTGAAATAGAACTGAATCTGCTGTCGAGATATGGAATGTGATAGATGATAGGTATAGTACTCACACGTTGCCTGTTCCGGATAATGGATCGATAAAGAACGAAGCATAATACTGTGAGAAGGAAGATGGAGCTAAATTACTCAAATTCCTTGAGGACTTTCTTCTTTTGACCGTGTTGGATTACCCCAACACTGCATTTGTATCGAATACCAGATAAAGGTGTATTATACAGAGCAGCATAGGGTCTAAAGTACACATCGTATTCTGCCGAGTATGCTTCGATTGAATTGGACACTCATATCTTCAGGAGGTGACGGAAAGCTTGTCTTAGCAGTCACGCATCTTCGGGGTCCTGATGAGATTGCTTATTGTGCTACTATCATGGTTTGATAGCATGATCAAGGAGAGGGAAAATGAGGGATACAGTGTCACTTGGAATAGCGAGATGAGTAACATCTGCTAACTGCATTTTCAAGCATAACGTATGCCCATCTTGCGACTTCTTACCTGGTGTGGATCTTGTGACTTCTTCTTTTGATTGTTGCCTACAACAAATGCCACCAAAATCGTTACCATTGCTCCGGTGAATGCAAGCATTTTGTATTGGCCTGCATAGGATCGAGTTTTGACAGATGGACCTTCATCACCGCCTTTTACAGAGTCATGTTTCACTTCCTGATCAGATGCAATCTCCGCTGAGTTCGAAATTTCCGCACTTGCTGATAACGATGGACCAGTTTGTTCGGATCCTTCAGTTTGAGTGAGAGGAGGTAGTATTTCCCCTACTTGTACATCCTTCAGGACTTCGACACTCCGCCATAGCTGACCATCTGGATCTGTTATATATTTCATGCTTTCGGAGCTGGTTGCTTCTGAAGACGACAGCAATGCTTTGAGGCCCAAGGGGTTGCTCTCCCGTTCTTCAGTAGCTACGAAAGAACACGATTCGGATGCTTTAAAACGTGGCTCACAATCTGGAAATATAACAATTCAAAAGTGTTCTGTACAACAAAATCGATAACTCACAGGTAGTATATTCTGAACTTCCAAATTGGAAGAGCCACCGAGTGGGTCATATCTTCCAAGTATAAAGGTGGCAGGACATCTAGTCCAAGGAAGAGATACTGAAGCAACGCAACGACTAAGACAGGGGATATTTTATACGGTTCACATAGTGCACACCATAACATACTCCCCGGCAACAAAACCTTAAAATCATTCTATAAGCCCAAATCTTGAACAGTTTATTCGATGCATTTTCTTGGGAAGGACCCATACCCTTCTCCTTTCCCATGTTCCGATTATGACCACAGGCATGAATGAAATCATGACTGGGACTTAGGCCTACCACAAACGACGGGTTACAGCAAGCATAGAGCTAATAAATGTAGTTTAGCGAAAAGAGGAACGAGCTCGACTAGGTTACTAAGTCATCATGGTTATTGTGCTTGAAAGCATCCTAATTTGCTCACTCATAGTTACCTGAAGACTGGTAGCTTGTATAACGTAGAACGAGAACAATTTCTCCGACGTTGATATTATCCAAATTTTTCACATGAATACACACAACTCTTTTCCCACATCCAATCAATTCTTTGATCGCCACCACAGCCCTTCCAATCAATACTTCACGTCCAAAAAATTGGTCCTCGTCCAGGACTGAAACCTGCAAAACTTCAAGACTGTTATGAAAATCTCAAATTGCTTTTCGAGAGCCACCTCGAGTGAGAAACTATATCTCAAGTTCATCTCATGCGGCTGACTGTTGCCAGTGGATGCTGTTAACATGAGCCCAATGATATGGGTAGAGGACCTCACCTTGATGATTGATATGCCTCAGAAAAATGGCATCTATCTCAGGAAATTTAGTACATACCCACAAGTGAGAATCTTCTGACGGAACACTGAGGTTGAAATCAGCCAGCCAACTGGGAGATAAAGAGTCCCTCACAGTTTCTGTGCGGACCTGCAGATATAAAGTTTTACGTCAAGTCAAGTAGAATGAAAGCACCGTTTGGTGATCAGTATGATTACAGCAATAGAGCACCGTGAATCACCAAGTGCAAAAAGAAGATAGCTGTAGTCGTAAAGCTGAACGTACCGATTGTCGCTAATAACCCATCCTTCCAAACAACCACTGTGGAGTGTCTGAGTGATGGGTGCAAGAAGCAACAGACTTGACAAGGTACCTTTTCGTCCCCAAGAAGAAGTTCGACACAAGAATCAAGCGTACCACGACCCATTTCTTTCACTGCAAAGTTTCTGCCTTCTACCACCGAGACTTGAAGCTCTCCTGCACCCACGGCTTGCACACTCTTTCCCATCCTGATGTCTTCGTATCCTGCAGGCAGGAAGGAATGATTCTTTTGACAGAGTCCGAAATTCCGAGTATAATTACAAAACTGCACAGCTCGAAATCTAGACCATGCGTTTAACTTCGGAGCCAGAAGTAAGACCCCGACGTTCACACAAGAGTAAAAGATTACAAATATTGGCGCTACAGGAATACCAACGGGTGCTCACATTCGAATAGGCAGATCGAGTTTGTACTGACATCTGAATGAATTTGATAAATCGTCAGCCTGCCTCTTCAACATAACTGTCCTACTCGTCTCTCATTGACTCATTGTACTGACTGATCGCCGTAGTTCAATTTCTAAACAAAGAAACCACCATATTAACGATTCAGCGCCGTGGTCGAGATTTCAAAACAAGGAAAGCTTCCAAAGAAATCAAAAAGGTGTTTTGCCTGCGCGTGCTGCGCTTAGCCCAAATCTCTCAGCCGAGAAAATAGTGTAAGCGGGGCATTCCGAGAATTGAACTCGGGACCTCTTGCACCCTAAGCAAGAATCATACCACTAGACCAAATGCCCGCTGTGCAATAATTGCCAAGATAGAGTAGTATGAACTATAAAAACGTTTTTACTCGAGGCCCATCGCTTCCAAACTTCCGCAGCCAGAACCCTAAGTCCGAAGTCTCTCAACTTCCATTCATTCGTACAATGTCTCAAGGAGGAATTGAAATTGGATGTGCAGAGGCTAATCAGGTGCAACGATAATCACTTCTAAGTGGAATTTTAGACCACAAAACCAAAAATCTTCTGTACCTATCGAAATAGATCTTCCGAATCAAGACATCACATCAAAGTCACGGGAGCTTCGAGCACGCCATGCCTTGCCAAATGCATGATGCCATCCCGAAACAGCAGACACACGAACGACAATCCAGAGAAGAAGAAGGATCTGTTTATAGACTCCACCGCTCTTGGAAACACCGCGGGTTTCCGAACGGACGGAACAAGAGGGCGACGAGCCAATCACGCGATCGATGCCGCCGAAATCAGCACGCAGTCGGCAAGAGCACATCAGATCATTGCGCGCAGTGAGGCGCTGCAGCCTTCCACGCTCTCGACCGCGAACTCTGCACGCACCTGCACAACCAGTCGAGTTCCGGTCGGACTGCCGACGCACCATATTCACCGTATCGTATGCGTATTACGTACCCTTCACTTCGTATACTGATAACTCTTGTATTGTACAGACGTATCCGGGCTGCTCCTGGTTTGGTTTGTATTTAGGCTGAGGGGTTGTGGTTTGGTTTTCAGCAGGGACGGTATTCTCAACGGAGTATGATGGCCTTTCAATGTATACATCGAACCGAATGTATTCACTCTTGTCACAATGAACGATCACTTTTGATATGACACGATGCTCGTGTCTTAAAAAAAGTAGGTAATGACTGTAATGACTGTTGGCGAGTTTGTCTGGAAAGTAATTACCGGGAACTATAATCCACAACAACTTTGTTGGAGAGGTTGAAAAACACAAGGTGAAGTTTTTGGAGAAAAGATTTCAAAACGTGATAAAGTCTATATTTGATCACAAAGAAGAATTCAATCCAACTCATTTTAATTGAGGATGTCACCTGAGAAATCCTTAACAAAGTGCCTCCTCTAGGACCACCTATTCATTCCGGAACAAATACTCTTGCAATATTGAAGCGTTCAAGATTACTCCTGCTGGAACATAGGTTGGAGTACTTTTGTATACCAAATGTGGACAAGTTTGCACCCGAATACCTAAGTGCTCAATATGTATGCAGCCATCGCCATACGTTTTTTTATCCAGGTCTATCTCCTGGTATCCCGTTGATTTTGTTACTTACATTGTTCTCTCGATATCTAGATGTCGAGAGAACAATTGTGTCTATTTAATTTTTTTTCTTTGTTCAATTTGATAGGTTTTCTCCATAGGTTTTTATATCCCTGTGGCTCCAAATGTTTGGTGGAGAATGTCACCTTTCTATAGTTTATAAAATTATATTGTCAGATTTGCTCCTTCACAAGACTCAGGTTAATAATCCTCTACTTTAGTTATAATCCTCTACTTTACCGACTTTCATTAAAATTTGACTAAAATTAAAAAAGTCGTTTGATATCTCTGCTTTAAGGGTTAGGGTTTACATTATGAGTTCTCCGATCTGAAAACTCATATGATAAGAATGCTCTTTGAATGAAATAATTTAGGTATCAAGTTTCTTGATAATCAGTTCATGAATAAATGGTATGATGTTGTAGTTAATGGAAAGAGCTTTGAAGTAGAATAATAATCTTAAGTTGATAACATCAACCGACCATATCAAGTACTGCAACTGCATATCTTTAAGAATAAATATTGAAGTTTACAAACTTGCAGATGAGAATGAAGGTTCTTCAAGAATGATCTATAGTACGTACACATTTGGAAATTAGATTGAGAAGAACATGTGCAGAATTTCTATAAGTTTTATTTTAAATAAAATTTATAGATATGTAAAGATTTAGTTCGAATATTCATATTTATCGACAAATTTCATTTTGATAATTATATTATCATAAAATCATTATTTTAATTGTAGAACGATGAAAACTGCATGAGATCTTCTGAATAAAACGTTTGTTAAAAGACTCTGGATGGCAATGTTAAGTGTTTCATTGTGTTGTAAGTTGTGGATTTTTTAAAATTTGGGAAAAAATATCTGGAATAAAAATTTTAAAAAAAATCCATGAAGAAATTACCATAAATTTCTATGTTTACTTCAATATTTAATTTTTAATTATTTTTAAACTAATGCTACATGTGCCTCTTAGAAAAATAAGGATTGACATTATTCTTACAGTTTTAAATTTTAATATAGGGTTTCTCTAAAGTAGCGTTTTAGTTCAGTTCAATTTCTAGTTTCTTCACCCCTGTTTTGAATTTTGATTTCGCCTCCAATCCAGTCATTTCCTGACATTCCAGTTTCAAAGTGAAAGTCAAGAAATCCGGTTTACATCGGAGGAGATTTTCATTTGTTCCAAAGAATAGCTTCCAAACAGAAGCTGGAAATGCGCGATCAGGATTCGGCTGGAAACAAATGTCGTCTTCACAGTGTGCATGATCAGGATTTATACAGTATGCATAACAGTTTCCATCATCTACTTTGTCCTGGCCTCTTACAACATATGACTGGTTCTGTTTGTCTCCCCCTGGGAACAAGCTTGCAAACACTTGTAAGAATGACACTCGTCATCTGTCATGATCCGCGTATCGAAGGTGACGACTAGATTACTCACAAATTGACGAATGTCTTTTTGTGACGTAAGCAGAAAGTCTGACAGTATACAGCGGATATCATGGATTCTGTTTGTTACTTGATTAAACCTCGCAATCATGCGCACAACTTTTAGTCAAGAACGTGTAAGCTATGGTGATGTTGTCTATGACGGATTTAACCACTTCAAAAATGTAGCATCCTGTTTGTAGTCCTCTCAGACAAGAAATTGATACCAATTGCTCTCACAACAATCGATGTACTGGACAACAGACCTTGTGTTCTTCTGGACAAATATAATATATGATTTCATGTTTTAAAGCATATTTCAGCTGGGAAACATTGGTTCTTAACGGCCCTGCTCGGGCACACACAAGAGGCCACTCCCATATGATATGATCTTCCTGATGATGCATGCAGCTAAGACTTCTTACACGATGTATGTAAAGAATTCAGCGAGAGATCCAACCCAGTATCGAATTGATGAATCGAAATAAATACACAACAGCACAGTCCTCTGCAAGTCGTACTTAGTAGAGAGGTCTAGCTTATAACAATATCAGCAACATAGAAGAAATTGATACTGTAAGAACTTTTTAAAATGAGGAATTACCCCACTTTATATATATTCATTCACACGGAAGTTGCAGGGAAATATTATCTCTGTTGATAAACTTTTTATGTTTTTATCTCCAAGCATATAGAGCGACAGTTACTCTTCCTTATTCATTTGCATGTCTCAGTTTTAGATCGTACATCATTATGCATGTAGCCTGGTTACATCTCCCATTCTCCAAAATTTAACAGTGTACTCTTCCCACAAGGAATGAATGAAAGATCATCCTTTCGGCAAAATGTATGTTGGACATGTCCTTCATCGAAATAACGATGAAGCGTGAACCATACGTATGTGTAAATCTTAGTATGATGGTGAGGAATCTGGTGGAGACCTTCATCTAACAGTTGGTCTGCGCTTCCAGTTTTCAGTCCTAGAGGTTTAGGCATGATCTCCTCTATGTCTCTCTACATGATCGACAGCAAATAAGACCGATAAGAGTAAACAAACGAGGTGGGACAGGTTTGCTAAGACGTGTCAATCACCCGTCGATCTCTCTCTCTGTCCTAGCACTCGCACTCAACAACAAAGTTTCAGATCTCCGTCAGCTCCACAGGCCAAACTACAAAACATAAAACAGAAGACATAAAATTCTGCCGATATAACACGATTATTCGCTAACACCTTCTAGCTAGATGTTTTCGCCAAAACTTGCAGTGCATTACTGCAATCTCGAGAAATTCAGCTTCCTGGGTGCCAACTCACGATGTGATCATAGTACTTATTTCACGAGTCTGCATTTCCCGCAATGAGAACGTTGAACACCGCGACTTCGAAGTCGCGGAATCTTCTCAAACCGCAAGAATGAAGCCTGGAAGAGATTTCCCTTCCTTGCTCTTCCAGAGCTGACTCTGCCAAATAGTAGTGCAAGGATAGCTTGAGACGATCTCTACAGACGGCTTGTTCGGCTTGAGATCGGTCACCAGGACCGCAGTGTTGAAGTATTCGCGCAATTGTGTAATGCGCCCTTCTTTAACCGTCCATATGTGGACCCAGAACACGTTATGTCGAGTAGAGTGCTTGCCCTCCACAAAAACTTTGCTACCTTGGGAGAAGAACCGCACGGGCTCAAAGCTGAAGGAGTCACATGAAGCGGCTCCGGTGAGCAATCGCATCATATGATCCTGACTCGGCGGTCCATGGAACCACCACTCGAGGTCAGGGGTCACGAGCTTGCTCACGGGGTGAACATCTCCTTGCGATAACGCTCGGTAAAGCGCTCGAACTATCCCTTCATCTGAGTTTGTGTCTGCCAGTGTTCCGGTATTCGCCAGCTCTTCAAAAATTTCCGCTATCTTCCTTACGAGGACGCGCACTCTACAAACGCAAACACAACCAACACACGCACGCACGCACAAACACAATCACGATCAACCAACTGCCACGGAATCGCAGAATTCCACTCGTCTGCTTCAATTCTGCCTTGCAAGCACAGCGACAGCGATGCTCGTGTCGAGGTCGGGCTCACGACTCGATTTGGAGAACGACTGAAGGAGAAGTCTGAGGATTGGAGGAGATTTTTTTCGCGAACTGAAACGCCGCTCGAGATGAACGAGATGCAGCGACGAGACGCGAAGGGGCTCGGGGAGAAAGGGAGAGGAGAAGGGAGGAGGAAGAGAGGAGCAAATGGAATGAGCCTTCTTGGACTCTCGGCGCGGCCACGCTTTATGCTTCCGAGCGGGCCGAACGCACATCTCCGCCACGTTGCGGCTGCCGGTGATCGGAGAGCGAGCTACCGGCGGGACTGACACTCGAGCACGAGGTCTGGCCGCAGATGCGGATGGGCCAGGCAGCGCCGGACTAAGGAACGGGAGGAGCCCCAACAGAGTTCCCACGCTCGGTTGACCGCGTTTAACACGATCGACGGTGCGATGTGCGCCGATGCGGCCACGCGTCGCCCGAGGCGGGTCATGGCGGTCCGAAAAGAAAGGTCGTGAGTCATTACCGAGCCCCGTCCGTCGATGGGACTCGGGAATAAATCGGAAGCGGAAGGCAGTTTCCCAGCATGCTTCCGGTCCAGTGACCGGTCTCAGGCGTGAAATCTCGGCCGCACGATGTCCGATCCTCGGGACCGTCGCCTCCCACAGTCCGGGAGGCTATGACCAGCTGGTCCGGAGTCCGGATCAGCAGGTGTGTCACGGAAAGCCTCTTCCATTGACGGACATGGAGTCATCATCCTGGTCGCGTCGTCGCTCGTCGCGGTCTCGAGTGGGACTCCCGTCGAAGCTCGTCGGCCGCCTACTGTAGGTCCGTTACAGGTCCATTGATATATATATACTGCGTCAAGGTCCGGTGACCGGACCTTGACGCAGTAAAGCTGATGGCAGTGCGCCGTGTCCTCGGCTCTCTGATGACGCTGAGATCTAGCCCAGCAGTGCTACATTTCAAAGGTCTCGGTCGGTTATTAACCGCCATATCGGGCCCGTTTGGTCCAGCTATTGTGGGGGCATTCTTACCTTCGGAAGGGTCACGCGTGTGGCACCACAGCGTGCGGTGTCTGAACGAGATATCGCTTTTGCCTCTAAATAAAACACTTTGATTAGCTCGCGGCCAAAGATTAAACTGACTTGATATATTTGTTATTCTAACGCGCCCTGTAATCTTTATTCAATGTGTCATCCACGTTTGTTTGCCTTCCAGATGTTCTCCTTATATCTAGCTATCTTACAACTTGACTTCCAGAAAATTCTATGCCATTTGTGGGTATTACTATTCCCCTGCCACCTCTTCATAATGAAGTAATTATTGCATTACATGATTCAGTTTCTCAACATATTGAATATAATAGGTATTTATTAGGTATAATAGGTATTTATTGTTCAAAGTATAAAAGGTATAACGCATGCTCAGGTCTCTTCAAAACTGGCATTGGCGGCGCTGATGCCAGTTTTGTCATAAATAAAATTAGCGGCATGCCATAAATAAAAATAACAGTTTTTGTCGACGTTTTTTCAAGTCTACAGATTCCTCTTGTCTGTTAGTGTTAAAAACACAGTAAGTATTGAGTGATGTAAAGTAATGACAGCAATCTGCCCGTTGCTGTTGAGTGAACAACAACAACTCTTGAGCGTCGAAAAGAATGTGAAGAATTCTGTTCTTTCTTTCAAGGCCACAGAGACAATATGAGTCTCGTGAACCACTGTTGGAGAAGAGATCTGCTTTTCATTTTTTGCTGTTGAAGAGTTTTTGTAGTTGCTGAACTGCTGTAGATGATATGTCGTCAAAGAAGCGCGAAACTCCATTCAATTCCTATCACGAACTTGAGTGCGGATTGAAGATTTTGACGCGTGATCCGTTGTCTGGTGTCGTCACATCAGTTTTGTGTCGTTTTTGTCAAGTATGGGGACGTGAACAGAAGATCGGACAGAAACGCAAGCCGGCTAAAACCACGAAGTATTTTAAAGTTCCATATCGACCAGAATTGTATTCACAGCATCTCGAAAGCCAACACCTGACAAAGTGGAATGAATATCGTTCTCTGTCAATAGACGCAAAGCGAAGTTTTTTTGATGCTACTGTTTTAACGAATACTATGCATGCTCATTTTGTTGGATCAGAAGATCAACTATATTTTCATATAAACGCTAACATCGTCGATGTAATTCTGCGTATACTTCTGTTTGATCCCGAAGCTGAGGAAGTTTGTATTGATCGAGCGTTGAGATTTTTTGAGCCAATCAAATCTGACAGTGTGCTTGTAGGGTATCAAGTTCATATAAAAAACATCAAGCTTTTCAAGCTTGTTATAGGGATGGTTGGTCTTGGCTCGTCGTTCAGATTAACAGCACATCAAGTGGAGTGTGCACGTGAAGAATTAACTCTCGGTTATCTTGGTGGATGCAACGAGGGAAAAGTATCATCGTTTGTTCGAGTTGCTGCTGCTGTTTGCCTTCAAAAACTGAGCAAATTACTTGCTAATTGTTGGGCCTTTTCTGTTGCATTTGATTCATCTACTCTCGAGACCACCTCGTATTTTGACGTTAGAGTGAGGTTTGTTGTAGGAAGTCGGCTGCATTGTTTTCATTTATGTTGTCTTCCTCTTTATGGACGACACACAGGTGACAACTTGTTTGAGACATTTGAGAAAGCTATGGATGCAGTTTGTCCATCTTGGGTATATACACTCTTATCAACATGCTCTGATGGTGTCAGAAACATGACAGGTCGAGTACGTGGAATAGTTACTCGTGTCTCCACTCGAGTTGAATAGGAAGGTTGTCACTTGATTCGATTCTAGTGTGGTGCACACCAACTTGATCTTGTTGTTCAAACTGTTGTTTCAGATTATCACAACAAAGAATTTTACTCAACGTTAACTGCCACCATATGATATCATCGTCGACAGCAGAATTTGATCAGTGAAATGAGATCCAAGTGTCCAAAGGTTGCAACTACTCGCTGGTTATCGTTGGGGAAAGTATTACCTTGGTTTTCAACTCATCGTTGCCGTATTGCTGAATACGTAGATCAGAAAAATTTTGATTTGAAACCAACTGTCATGTGGTGGATTGCTTTATATTCATTGATCCCTATAGTTACATAGATTGATTTTCTGTTTAAAACTTTGCAGTATTCTACGTTGTTGGTCACACAACAAGAACTTGCTTTTTCTAGATTCATTTGTTGTCTTCGGGATGTGACAGGAATGGAAGGTCCACTTTCAGAATTGTTATTTCAGGAACAAGATAAAGATTTCTGGTGCTGTAACAGTTTTTACAGGATTGCCAAGAATGCTGTCGTGCACTTTGTTCGAGGGTGTGGTTCATTCGTTGCTATGTCATTCCATAGCTTGTGTCAATTTGAGAAGGATATTGTGATTTGTTCAGTTGGAAATCTTATAGTTAGTCTTGCAGCAGGAATACATGCAATCGAGCCAGAAAGGGATAGTAACAATGCACCAGCAGCAACTTTACCTCCATGTCTTCCTCGTGAGTTTGTGAACATGCCTGCATCAAGCTTCGTGGACCTGATAATTAGATTTCGATCTCGACTTGAGAAGACATTCACCAACGAGTACATTGACAGCTTGGAACGAGAGTTCAAAAAACTGAAGACTGCTTATCAAAGAGAATATATAGTTCGTGACACTATCAATCAAATGCCAGAATCTGTAGATTTTCATGAAGCATGGAGTGCTCTTGAACGTAGGTTTCCCAAACTGTGCACGTTTGCTGGAGGATTTGCTAGTGTGTATCCTGGTACAACGCGTGTAGAGAGTGATTTTTCTGTGATTAATTGGGAGAAAGACGAGTACAGATCGTCCTTGATGGATCTGTCACTCGAAGGCATCATGCATTGTAAACAGTTTAAAGAAATTCAAGCAATTTGATACCTTGCTCATATTTGTCATAAATAAAATTTTGATGATGCCATATTAGGATACTTTATGACAGATTTGGCAAATGCCAGGTTAGCAGAGGCTTGCGCATGCTCGATAGACCTTCCCTTCAGACGCGATTGGGCGTCATCTTTTTTCTTCTTTCACATGTTGTAGCTTTTTTCCGCTTTTACATACAAACCTCACCCTTTTTACGTGGTCTTGGACTTGTCAACATATTGCCTTCTAGCCTTTACTTCGCGACGTTCTTAAGGAACCTTCATCGCGGCATCTGGTTTTATCTTTCCTCCGGCATGTTTCCGAGGAGACGATGACTATTGTCTATAGTCATCGTCTATAGCATGATGGTCAATAGTCTTTTTACCATCATGCTCTTAGAATCGCTTAGCGTACATTTCAGGAGGGCATTTCAATGATCTACAACTGAAATATTGTAGGAACTGAAATTATGCAAACTCTAAGGAAAACTCACCCTGATGTTTTGAGGCTATTTTGTAGATATGCGTAGAGTGTTGATCCAGTTTGGAAATGACTCCACATTAAATATTTCTTTAGATCTGTATGCTGCTATAAACTCAATTGAGAGAAGCAGTGTTCACAATATTTCATACAATAGCTTTGTCTTGTGCAAAGCTTATTTTCTAGGCATCAGGCACAGAAAAATCATAGAAAGTACTAGAGGTTGAAATTTTTTCAGTTTTTTAATTTCACTAGATGATTATAGATGTAGGTTTCAGTTGGCTTCTCTTTTTTTAATGATTGGACTAAACACATTCTGTATACTAAGGATCTATTCATGAGAATATCTTTTCAAGAAAAATATGTCTCAAATAAATTTCTCATTCTATCAGAAGTGATAGAAGTATAGTTAATAAAAAAGATTAGCTACTCTAGATTTCGGCTTAATTTCTATGATCTGTGCAACATGTGTAGATCAAAATTAAATATTCTTTGAAATTAAGAAGATACAACCTTGGTATAATTAATCTTATGTATTATTATCGTATCATCAATATATAACTTAGAGTTTTAAGCTTCTAAAACTCTTAGAGCCTGTTTTTACGTGAATAAGTTCACAAGTTTCAAATCCAGAGCGTATTTTATTCTAATTTATGTTTTACATAAGAGTAGTCTATATGAAATATCGATACTCTTTTCTTCTAATAAGTATGTGTCGATGTTGAATGAAGCATGGATTAACGTCATATGTTTTATTCTCAATTTCATATTTAGAAATATAGATTTATTTTCTTTTCAATGAAGAATCATCTTTTTTATCATCTTCAATTTAGATAGAGATATTTACATTTTTCTGGTGATCAAAATTTGATATTACGTACTGCAGACAATGCATTGAAATCAATTGAATCATATTAAGAAATTTTTTCCTAAATTAATAACTTTTTAGTATCAAGTTTATAACACAAATCTAAAGTTTAATATTATTCAAAATAGATTATTTTAGAATTAATTATGTAAAATTTTGCATCAAAATATTTCAAAAAACATATATTACAAAAAATATTTGCTATTTAATTGTGAAAAAATTATATAGAAAATGTTGAAAAAAATTTATATTTATATCTACTCAAATCATTATCTAAAGTAGTAACAATTTTCCTTTGTCTTCACTTAAAAATTCAATTTATTGATATCAAGCATATTTAAAATATAATTCTTTTCAATAGTTGAAAAAGTTAGATTTGATTGTGTCGTACATTACATTAAACTCTTGCCATTCAAATGAAACACACATTTAAATTTTTTATCATTATTAATTTTGCTTCATATTTACTCGATAAAAATGAAATATTTGTATTTTAATATTTTCAAGAATTTCAAGAATTCATAATATAGTTTTTTAAATAAAAATAAGAATAATTCATCATGATTTTTTA